GATATATATATATATATATATACATATATATATATATATATAGATATTATTATATTTATATATATATATATATATATATATAATTACTGAAATAAATATAATGTTGCTACTTTGTGGATTTTCACTTATAGCGGGGAAATCTGGAACGTAACCTCCACAATAAATGGGGGTCTACTGTAAAAGCTTTCCATTCTTTGATTTTTCTTATAGTTTATTTTCTTTCTTGCTAGAATTACTTTTAAACATGATAAATACTACAGTGCTTATACAAATTTATTTTAATATAAACTATGCTTTTTTAACTTTTGGCTAAAAATACAGCCAAAAAAAAATAAATAAATACAATAGCAGCAGTTATCACAATGCGGTAAATACTTTTGTTATAGGTGTACAAAGTACATACACCTTTGGACCAAGAAGCTATGTTAACGGTTGCATTACATTTAGAGACACACAATATGTTAGAGCCCTTTAAATAGGAAGCAGGAGAGACTAAATTCAATTGATCTGCTTCAGTTCACTTGTCATGACTCACTTTGACAAATGAATGTGTTCACTGTAAATAAAAAAAGCTTCTTATATCTTCCTCTCTGCTGCAGGGCCAGTGTGTGCTTTCCCGTGACCTGTTGGACCTGCTCTTTGTCCTGAAAGAGTCAAACGTCAGAAGCGTACTGTTCAAGTTGATAATGACTCCACTGTGGAAGGATGAAGCTGTGAGGGGGGACAAGCCGAGTCTTTCCTTTGTAATTAAACGTAGCTCATTAAATCTGTGGGGGAGGATTTATCTTAATATTGTACTGGACGTTTCTGCAGTGGCTGCTTTACAGGCAGAAGGAGGAGGCCTTTAAAACCAGAAGTGACTTTTTTAATATAATCTGTGATGACCATCATTCAGAAAAAAATGACATTCTTCTGTTTGTATGCATGAGAAATAGTAAAGTTCAATAACTATACATTACCAAGCTTTAATGACGATATTACAACAATTCAGTCAAATTTAAATTCTAAAAACTTTTACGTTTTCGAAGAATTACAACTTTTTTTTATTGGTAATTAAAATAATGTTGATGTTTAATTTGATAGCTACCTGGCTTGAATAAACAAATTGTAGAAAGTAAATAAAGCTGAATAACTTTTCAATCTAAGACAGCGTGCACCTTGAGAAAACATATGCAAAGTCTAGAAATTACTTTGCAAGATATTAGCAAAAGTCAGCAATATCTGAAATTAATTTTAGTTTGTTTTTGTTGTGACATATTTGATAAAATACAAAATGTTTAATTTAAGGTTTAAGTAAAAAAAATAAAATCCTCATGTTCTGTTGACATTATCATTGTTGGTGCTTTATTTTTATATTTTCAAATATTTTCTTTTCATTCTTCCAGCAATACAAGCAAGCTACCTGTGTGCAGTCTAACAAGCAGACGTGAAAAGAAAAACAAGAATAAAACACTTATGCTACATTTATTTGTGTATTAGTAAATACCATAATTTTTGGTCTATAGAGCACATCTGTCTATAAGCTGCACACACTAAATTTAAAATAAAACGCAATTTTGTACATAAATTAGCTGCATTTGAGGATAAGCCACAGGTGTCCACATTTTAATTTCAGAAACACAGCTCCTGATAGTGTGGCGGTTCACAAACTTTAATTTCCTTTAACACACACAAACAGCAGATCCTCACAGATCTTCATGGTAACACTCTTTCTGTTTCGTGACTACTCTGCTAAATATGTTAACCTACAACCTATTGAATGAACATAAAAACGAGTATAAGAAAATCGACCAGTAATCAGTGGAGAAAACAGTGCTACTACTGATAAATGTTTTTGGCGTCAGGAAGCTCGTTAGCCCATGAAAAAAATACTGTAAATATTATTTTTTAAATATATATATATAAATTAGCCGTGGCATTATATAAGCCATGGTTTCCAAAGCATGTGAAAATAGTAGTGGCTTATACACCAGAAATTATTGTATATATTATGTCAAAATATTTGAAGTGGAAAAAAGCAGGATCACTAAAATACCCTGTTAAAATAAGAAATTTAAAAAAAATTAGCGCACACAAATTAAAGCAGTCAAAAGAAATTAAAAAATCAAACGTTTAATGATGTAACTCTCAATGGAAACAATAAAAACAACCAAAAATAATAAGATGAAGAGATTTTCATCATATTGTCTGTATGATGGATTATGGTTTGTTCTTAAACTGTTTTCATCTCTGCAGCAAATGGATTAATGAAAAACTTTTAACAAGTTAATGTGTTAATATTGCATTAGAGACTAACACTTATTCTGGAGAAAAGATTTATCGTCTACTAACACTCAGCTTATCAAAGTGAGTGTAGAAAAGGATTCCATGAAAGACAAATACAACTCATAAAAACAAAATATTAAACCTGTAATTGTAGGTTTTTGTGAAATAATCATATCATTAAACACAACCTTTAATGCAAAAACACGTCCGTACCTTGGCTTTCTCCAGCTGCACCTGGGCATTTCGTTCCTCAATGACATCTGAGTCCTTATGCTCTCCCTACAAGAGACAGATGACATCCAGATATCACAACAGGGGGGGTCCAACATTTCTTACAACTCCAAGCTTTTACATCTGATACTTTAGAGTGTATTTTCCATTTACTTTCACATACACAGTTTCAAGAAACCTTGTGTCTAAAATACTTTTAGCAGACGCCTCCTGGGATCCTCAGGTTTATGAGCCATGTGGCTCAGAGATTAGAATGTCCCCTCAAAGACACGATAATTAATGTCCTCTGTGTCATAGCCAGAAGACAGCACAGCTGCCAGCGTTGAACTGACACACAAGATACACACTTGAGCCACAAAGTCACAAATCAGCTCTTTAGCTTCAGACAATTAACTCAGCACATTTGCCCAAAATAATTGTTCATTAATTCATCTACATGTTTCACAGGTTTCGTTCTAATTTATTAAATGTTTACTAATAACATAAATATGCAGACAAAGTACGATCTATCTTTTTGTAACAATCGGACAAATACACAAACCCTAAGCGCTCAGTGATTATCTTTTTAGCACGTGTAAATTTAAAAGTTGCATTCTGCATAATTTTAGAAGATTTATACACTGCAGTGTACATACTGTATGCATGTATAACTATTGAAAAAACAAAATAAAATTAGGTTGTTCTTTACAATGCAGACCATTGTAAACATGACTGACAAAAAAAATAGGCTCGACAACCCGAGTCTCATAAGGTTAGTGAGGCACAGCAGAGCTGACTGCACAGATCTGTCGAGCCTGGAAGACACAACAAGAAACTCACTATACAACACTATACAACACTATACACACGTTACTTCCATACATCTGCTCCTGGCGACAAAGGCCTGTGAAGAATGAGACTAGTGGGAACGTCAAGATTCAGGTATATTTAAAAAGAAAAGGAGCAAATAAAAAAGGAGGATAAGCCTAAATAAACATGAGAAACTGCATTATTACTTAAAACAAAATATTTTGCTGCACAAGAAAGACACAAATGTTAAATTTCACTCATGCAGATTCGCCCAATATGACATCAATAATTAGTTCCTCTTATGGTGCCCCGTCGTGCAGCTTTAAAGTTTATATTCTGTATGAAACAAACTGTTTTATGTGTGTTTTATGAAACAAAGTTTGTGCACTCAACCTTGCAAAAGAAAATTAAACCTCAAAGTCATTTAAAGAAGCTTTACAGCAACTGATAGTCATATTATAAAAAAAAAATAAAAGTAGATTAATATCAACATAATAAAGAAGTGGATGTTGTCCCTTGAGTGGGTGCAGATATGAATAAGATGGAGAAAAGGGAACAGAAAGAATAAAAATAATGAGATTTGTACAATATATAGGCTCATATGGCTACACTTCTTGGGCTTGTATAAAATAAAAATGAACAATGTGACTCAAAAGCCTAAACTGAAACACACCGTAACTTGAAGACCTTTGCATAATTACTATTAAAGCTTAAAATTATGTGACGGAAATAATAAGAAATGTCTTAATAAGCAGGGGAAGTTCTGGTAATTAGATAATAAAGGTATGAGATGTATGGGAAACTTCATTAAAACTGGAAATAGGAAACTTCATTAAAACTGGAAATGTAATATTAGAACAAAATAAGAGAAGATGAGGAGGAAGTAAATCTCCCTGGGGCACAGTTATGTCCATGCATGGGTTTTGTTTACTCATTACTGTGTAGACATCTGTTCGCACAGCACCCGCCTCTCCTGCAGGCCAGTGTCACCCAGCCAACAGTACCAAACACCTCCACTGAATTATTAAACATGGCTGAAGAACTGCAGGTGAGTCATATCTTACCCTGGTGTGTCGGGGAAAGGGCCCATCGTTCATTTAAAGAGACGGTAAATAATAAGTTCATCTTTCATTTCCAAAGTTTATTGTGTTTAAAACATTACAAAATGTTTGATTTTTGCGGAGATGGACACCAGCTATACCCTGGGGCCACAGAGCAGAAGAGTGGGCAAATAAAACTGATAGATGAATGGATCCATCAACCAATATTTAGACTGTATTCGTGAAATTTAGGATTATGCCATGTTGAAAATATTAATTGGTTGAACCTCTTTTCACAAAACACTATAGAATGCTGTAAAAGGCAGAACAGAGCTGACATTTCCTCTTAATAACCCATAACACCCCCAAAATCCCTGACATTTACTGTTACCTCACTCTATACAATTATCAAATAGAAACTATGTTTATTTTCCAACTCAGTCACGTATTCAAATCCTTTCAATTAACCACACTTGATCCCTTATCCTGTTTTCTTTTTTCCTGCTGGAGAACCACTGGCTCATTATCATGATTACTGGAGGGTGTGCAAATGAAGGTGGGGGCATGGATGGTTCTGCCACCTGAAGGTGACTCTGCCTGTTTAAAAGCGTTTACAAAGCTTTTACCACACATGCCAGGGAGAGCATTAGGGAAGGAGTGTTTCCTTGGAAAGATGGAAGCAGCCTCTAGATTGAAAGTATCTGAGCCACTGAGGCACCAGGAGCCAGCTGGATGGCCTGAAGCACTGCAGTTCCCCAGAGGACAAATGGAAATGTGGACCAGGTCTCCGAGAGATGCAAACATGTGACTTTTTCCATATCAAAAGATAAAATAGTTTAAAAACTTTTTTTTAACTGTGCTGCAACAAAGTTCCTGCAAGAAATCTGTGTTAATCCAGTTCATGATTTCTGGTATTATGAACTGATGAAATCTGGAAAAATTGGTGATTAAAACTACAATGAATGAATGTGTGCCTACAGTCTGACTGTTAATTAAAAGTTCAAAGTGTTCAAAAAGTTTTTGATGAGTTGTAGAAAACTTTTTTCTCTTCTTTAGATTGTGATTTAAACGAAAGCGTTGTCTCTTTGCATGCTCCTTCCACAAAAGAGGAGGTGTTTCCATAGCAACCATTGAGAGAAATTCACCATCTAAACAGTAATGACTCCCACTGGTGAAAACAGATCCCCTAATATAACTGGTGAGCCACGATCCTCAAAGAGCTACAAGAATTAAAAAAGTAGTGCAAGGAAACAACCATTCACACCTTGAAACACGTGACCACTTCATATGTTGTGAACGTTCTGAAAATAACTTTTAGCCTGAATTGTACAAATGTGATCATATATTTTACAAACATGATAATATATGGTACAAACGTGATTATTATATTGTACAAATGTGATAATTTTATCCAGTGTTCAAATTTTATTTTTTTTCTTTGACAACAATACTCTTCCATAGTATCCAAATCACACCGATAGTAAATAATAATTGATGAACAAAGAAAGACCTTAATGTCTCTCCATTCTGAGGGGAGTGGGTTTAATCCATGCATGCATTTAGCTTGTATCCCTGAACATCTCATGCAGTTTGAAAGTTTGGAAAGTTGGATAGGTTTGTTTTCCATCCATCCAATATCTTTTACCCGCTTCTTCCTTTTTGGGTCGTGGGGGTCACTGGTGCCCATGTCCAGCCATCACTGTGCGAGAGGCCCTGGACAGGCCACAAGTCCATCACAGAAAAAAAAAAAACTTTTGTTTTTTGTTTAGTTTTGTTTTTACTGAGAGAACATCCTGGATGAGAAGGAAAATGTCTTCAACTAGAGAACAGAAGTTACATAGACGGGATTTGCCTGGTTGAATAAAGGCTAATAACAATAGTTAATACAGTAGATAAGAATGTTTTTTTTTTATTAATCTTGTTGTTTTTTTGCTTTTTGCAGCTGTCACAATCCTGGCCGATTTGTGTTTGTTTTTGTAGTTTGAACTAACTGTTTTTTTTTTTTTGGTAAATTTCTTGTTGTTTTTATTTAACGATTTCTTGTGTTCAAACTGTTACCTCCATGTGTCATTTATCATTGCCCCCCACACACACACACACATCTGCAATGTATTTGCTCATCAATCCAGGTGTTTCAGCTCAGTAATCACTCCTATAATATTTATTCTCCTGGTTCACCTTCTACAACTGCTTGTTCACCGTTGTTCTCTTGGGTGTGTTTCCTAGTTTGTTCTTTTCATTTGTAAGTTAATTTTTTTTGCCTTGTCAGCCACTTTTTTATTATTAAAAGTTTTGGTCTTCTAGTTTTAAGTTCTCATCATGTTTAAGGTTGTACATTGGATCTTCTAACCACAACGTTGCAGCAGCATCAACCTGTGCCCCACAGAGTGCTCCTGAGTCACTGCTGTTATCCGTGTTTTGTTTAAAAGAGCAAAGAAAGACAACTGGGGTTAGAAGTTTCCACATCACTACCCAGTGGCTCCATTAAGAGCAGATGTGTGAGTCATTCAAGTGGCAGTGTAAACACTTTGACTGTAGTGTCTTCTTTGTAAGCCTGCCGAAATGTGTAACTGCAACACTTCATAGATAACTTGAGTGAGGAGTAAAAGAAGGGGGTTCAAATATTGTAACACTTATATCCTGCTTGTCTCTTCTATTTGTGAAAAACAAAAATGGGAAAGTCCATCACGTAGAAGAGAAAGAAGTTTCTACAGGAGTCCTTCAGGGACAAACAAAGCAGCCTTCCTCCACAATTCCCTGAATGAGTCAAAACAGAAAAAGTTTAATTTCAAACTGCATTTTTTCTTTTATTTCCATGAAAACAAAATCACCTCTTGCAAGCAAGTAAATGATTTCCATGAGAAAAAACAAAGACATTTAATTGTATTGTTTTGGACATGGGTGGTACAGTGGTGCAGTTGGTAGAGCTGTTGCCTCTCGGTGAGAAGGTTGCCGGTTCAAATCCTGGCCTGGGACATTTCTGGGTGGAGTTTGCATGTTCTCTCCATGCATGTGTGGGTTTTCTCCGGGTACTCTGGTTTTCTCCCACAGAAAAAAAAAAAAAAAAACATGCATGTTTGTCTGATTGTTAACTCTGAATTGTCCCTAGGTGTGAGTGAGAGACTGAATGGTTGTTTGTCTCGTTTGTCTCTATGTGGCCCTGTGATGGACTGGAGACCTGTTCAGGGTGTACTCCGCCTCTCACACAGTGACTGATGG